AGAGAGAGAGAGAGAGAGAGAGAGAGAGAGAGAGAGAGAGAGAGAGAGAGAGAGAGAGAGAGAGATGGCCATGGCACACAGAGAGAGAGAGAGAGAGAGATGGCCATGGCACACAGAGAGAGAGAGAGAGAGAGAGAGAGAGAGAGAGAGAGAGAGAAAGAGAGAGAGAGAGATGGCCATGGCCGTAAGGGACTTGGAAAGTTTCTACCTGCTAACCGAGCTCGGAATGGGCAGAGCCGGTGTCGCACCGGGCCCGTCGAACACCAACCACTATCATAATAAAATAAATAATAATAATAATAATGGTGGTTCATTCCCGCCTGCCGTGACTGTGCCGTCCCGTTCAGTCAGTGAAAACAGGGTGTGGCACCCATTTGCCGCCGGAAAACCACTGCTGCGCGCCACCGGGTTTGCCACGATGGCAATTGGCGCACTCGGTTTCACCTTATTCACTTTCCCGCTCTTTTTTTTATTCATTTTCCCGCTCTTTTTTTTCCGGGATTTTGTTTTTTCTCCGGCCGGGATGCGTGTCATCCTCTAAATCGCAGGGTTATCCAGCGGCCTAAGCTCAGTTGGAAGGCACGCGCAAGTGGCATTCAGGAGGTCTTGGGTTCAACCCCCATTGGCCTCATGAGGCTCATGTACCTTTCTGGGCAAGCTTGGCGCCTGCCACCTAGAGATATGCCGTTGGTCCCCCCGACTGGCATTGAGCAGAGACTGATGATGTTCATAGGGGGAGGGGACCACCACCTGAGGGGAGGCACAGTGACTGGCCCATCGAAGAAGCCCAGGTTGTCGTAGAGGCTGGATTATATAGACATATGAGAGTCCCCTTCGGCACTAGGCCATGTCGTAGAGGGCCCCTAATCCTATGGGACTCCCTCCCAACCTACCTCTTTCGTAATTTCTCCCGGGGCACTCCTGCTCCCCGTATCCTACCTCAGTGTCTACCACTCAGGATCGCCCCCCTCCAGCCTGGGGGTCACCTGACCGAACAGTGGTTGTAGGTACCAGGGCTAAGCTGAGTCCCACACACCCCACTCGGCCCCAATCGAAGCATATTTGAGCGAGCCTTGTCGCCCAGGTACTTCAGGTGGTAGGTACAGACCTTTCAAGTCCCATATGTGGACCTATTTCGCGTCCTATTGTTGTGTACACAGCTCTTGTTTTTTTTTTTTTCTTCTTTTTTTTTTACTGTTGTTTGTTGGTAGGTTGTTCGCTGTGCACACTGTTGTCATTACCACTTGTTTTTTTTTTTTGTTGATAGTGAACCGAACATAGGAGGCAGGCAACCCAATCAATCCTGTAGAGAGCCCCACCGGCACAAGAGCCCTATTAGCACCACCCACAGACTGTACTAAGTCTCGCTCTCATCAACTGTTCCTCGTTTCCATGGGCAGTCTGTAGGGTCCTAGTTCAGACAGACATCAGCCGTAGATTGTACTAAGTCTCACTATCATCAACCGTTCCTGTTCCACGGGCGAGCTGTCCTAAGGGGAGCCCTCATCCTAACCCCTCCCGTGCCTAGTGGCTGACCCCCCCAGATCTCCAGCTAGCAATGGGCCCTCCTACTCTAATGTTGCCCCGAGAAACCTACCAACACCAACCACAGTCTGTACTAAGTCTCACTCTCATCAGCCGTTCCTGATTCTATGGGCGGTGTATAGGTCTCTTGGTCCTGCATCCCACTACGTGAACGAGTTTGAACACGCGACCTCATCCATGCAATCTACTATCGAACCTACTGAGCTTGTGACGCCCAACCTCACGCCCGGCGCGACTTCCTGATCGGAGTGGGATGGGGGGGGGGCCCTGGAAGTGCGAAGAGGGGTGTGCCAAGGATTTTTGGGAAAATGGGGGTTGAAGTCCCAGGTCGGAACTGGGATCTTCTGTGGCCGAGTTCAGGGGCAGAGATGCAATAGAGCAATGGGAAAATTTACGGGCGCGGGCTTGCACGCTGGTTGTGCGGGGCCGTCCGATCCTGACGTGATCGCCAGTTCTAGGGAGCCTGTCGAGGCGGTCCTTGGGGCCCACGCCTTCGGGGTCCGCCACGTGGCGTGGGTTGGTGGGAACTATGCCTAGGTGTCGAGGCTCCGGGGGTTCGAGTATGGGCACGTCGCCTGCAACTTCTGCGCGGGGTGGAGGGCCAATAAGGCGCTATGGAATTCCACGGTACTACTGTAAGCTGATGATAGGGGAGGAGGAGGTGGTATGGCGGGAAATTAGTGGCGATAAGGACGAAGCCGGGGGTTATGAAATACTGCGTGTTGTACGTGCTTGGGTAGTTGGGTATCCGTGGGTCGCTTCGTACGGTGAGATGGAATTCCCTAGCGCAGAATCTATCCTTTTCCATGAGGCAGGGGAACACCGGGTTTCTCAAATTTCCCCGTAATCGGAGTTGCTCTTCTTCCTAGATTTCCCGGTATCCGATATACGACTCGTAATCCTCGGAATTCCAAGATACGTCGGAACTCCGCGAGCTCGTCATTCTTTCATCACTCACGCCTTGGGGAATAAGTTAGTCGGGGAGATCACCGCTCGTAAGTGCGTATGAGAGATGCAAACAAGTCGCACTTACGCACACTTACGCGTGATGGGTAACCCGATCCTGGTTGACGTCGACTCCTACTTCAGTGAGGGGCTGACTACGGGCGTTAGCCAAGACGCGATTGGCGGGTCCGAGTGGTATGGACACATGTCAGCCGCGCTCCGTTCGGATCGCACTTGCAGGTGCCCATATGGCACGTCGGATGGTGCGCTCCAGACTACCCGTAAGATTCGACAAGCCAACACACTTTACTGATCACGCCAACATGCAATCCCCATTCTCATTCATCATGTACGAGGGTTCGAAGGGAAACGATCAAAAACGAAAATGCGAAGGTGCGCGAACCATCCATACATCATTTGCAAAAGAGGATTCCGGAGAAGGAACGAAAAAGGAGAAAACATCGATACAAAAAAAAAAAGAATCAAATCGAACAACAGGACGAGTATATGGCCGCAAAGACAAGGGCGAGTTGCCCGTAATGGACACCAAAATTTATATACACAGATAAAAAAAAGGGCCGAAAAGAAAAGCACAAATCCTCAACCTCAACTCTCTCTCCTCTCTCTCTCTCTCCGATGCCGACAGTCCGTCGTCGCGGACCAACACATGGAGCCGTCACCCCGCTTAGTCCTCCTGCGCCCGTCACGTTCGCTCCGCGCCCACAGTCCGTCGTGGCCCGCGTCAACCCCGCGCATTCGGCACCAGCTCGTCGGGTCGCCCGACTCCCACTTCACTCACCTCTTACTTCGCTCGTGTGCCGACCCTCTTGATCGCGCAACCCCGAGCTTCCAGCAATTGTTAAGAGAGAAATTTAATCGCACAGCCGGAATTTATAGCGTGTGTGCATGCGCGAAGAACACGGAATTACAAGGACGTAGATAGATGGGAGAAAGGGAGTGCATACGTTTGCACGGTCGGGCCGCGGCGTGGGGGACGTACCCAACTCCACACATCGATCCGAACATGCAAACGCGGCTACCCAGCTAGGGAGGGGAGAGAGGAAGAAACGAGGCGGGAAGAATAAGAAGCAAGAAACAGAAAGATACAGTTACAAAAGTGTGCGCCCAAAATTACAGTTGCAAAAGGATTAAGGCGCCAATCAATCAAGGTCCTGGCGCAGCAGCAA